ACAGGAACAGACACAGAGCTGGTCAATCTTTGCAGTGATTTCCTTTAAAATATAAAATCATCAAGTGTAGATACCAAATCATGACTGTAAAACGTGTCTCTGGAGCACAAAAAGCTAACCCGTGTACATAACATATATCCCAGTGCATTAGAAAGGTGTTCTCCAGATAGCTCATGTGCACCCAGAGTTCACATTCCCTGCTTAGAAGCAAAGGAAATAAACAAAGCTCTGGGTACCTTTTCAGCTCTAGTCATCATTCACTTAATTTACACTTTAAATTTCAAAGAATGAGAAATGGTAAATGAATAAAGTAGACAAGTGGGCAGTGACTAAGAAGAAAACAGAAGACTGGCTTTCAGATATATTTGCAGTACCCTCTCTTCCTTGAGCACACACAAACCAGAATAACTAGATCTCAAGTTAAACAGCCTACCAGATAGGAGGCTAGGCAGATCCTAACACATCATGAAAACAAAACAAAACTTGCTTTGAAAGTGCCAGCCATATTCTGAGATCATAGTTAAATCTGAAAAACGTAAGCCTCCTCCCAGGACTCCGGTTGCTATGCTCAGAGAAAAGGTGGAAATAAGATACTAGTTTTGTATTATCTTCAGTGTAACAAAACAACATATATGGAAATCAAAAGAAAAAAAACAGCTAAAATCTTAACAGGTCAGATCATTTTCAAACTTCTAGTCTATAAATTACATATACACTATAGAAAGAGATGGTGGGGGGGTGGTGTCCCAAAAAATTCAGGAGCAAAACCTACTTACAAAATGTACTTTAATAACTAGCTTCCAAAAGTGAATTACAATTTTAGTATTGCACATAAGGCCAGAACGGTCTTAATAAAGAACTCTTTCTTGCAAAATATTATCTCAACCAAGTTAGGATATAGTAAAAGGAGGAAGAAAAGTCACTGAAAACACCACTCTACTAGAATTGGGCCAAAAACTTCCTCACCTAGCTGCCCAAGGCAAAAAAAAAAAAAAAAAAAATCAAAACTGAATAAAGAGCCTAGACAGGCAGGGTGGCTCACACTTGTAATCCCAGCACTTTGGGAGGCCAAGGCAAGTGGATCACCTGCGGTCGGGAGTTCGAGACCAGCCTGGCCAACATGGTAAAACCCCAACTCTACTAAAAATACAAAAAATTAGCCAGGCAGGATGGCAGGTGCCTATAATCCCAACTATTCGGGAGGCTGAGGTACAAGAATTGCTTGAACCCGGGAAGTGGAAGTTGCAATGACTCAAGATCTCGCCACTGAACCCCAGCCTTGGTGAGAGAGAGAGACATTGTCTCAAATAAATAAATAGCCCAGAACTAGCTGATTATTTATGAAAAACCTAAGAACTCTATAATTACCCCATCTTTCCAAGTTGTAAAACAACAAAGGCTGTTAGAAAATGAAGGTGACCTATGAGATTAGTCCTAGTAACAATCTAGTTTTTAACAATTCTTCCAAAACAGTTCTAAATCTTGACCTTCCACTTAGTAAACATACTTCTCAGATTCAGAGTTCTGGTTAGAGGTAAAGAGTGTGTGACAACACCAATGAACTGCAAATTTCAATTACTATTTTTCTATTAACTTCAGAAGTAGAAAAACAAGGTATGTCAGGAGTTCAAGACCAGCCTGGCCAACATGGTGAAATCCCATCTCTACTAAAAATACATCAGCCGGGCATGGTGGAGGACACCTGTAATGCCAGCTACTCGGGAGGCTGAGGCAGGAGAATCGCTTCAACCCAGGAGGCCGTGGTCGCAGTGAGCCAAGAGCATGCCACTACACTCCAGCCTGGGTGACAGAGCAAGACTCTGTGGCGGGGGGGGAGGATGAGTCAACTTTCAGGGGTCCTTTATCATCTATTTTGATGGGAAAGCATCCTATAATGCACCCCAGCTTCCTCGGGCCCTACCTTCTCCGATATTCTTTTCTCTAGAATATCCAGACTGGTGGAGATAAGAATCCTTCCTCAGGCTACTAGTGCCCCTTACAAAAGGTAGTCTTACTCAATGTCTTTGACCTTATGAGTAGGCTGGCAAACCATAGGATATATAAGCTGCCTGTAACATTTGAAGAAATAAACTATTTTGCCTTATTCTATAATGCTTAGTGTACACACACAGAGGGACAGAGAAAGAAAAGGAACACAGATGCTCTAGAAATAAAAGTAAGAGAAGACTGATAAACCAGGAAAATAGACACCTATAACCTCAAGTGTACTCAAGTCATCTCTGAAATTCACCCAGATGTGTGGCCCATTGCCTAGACCAACATATACATCTGGTAATAATAAACACTGATATGTCATAAAAAGTTTTCTTAATTCTACAAAATACCAGTAATATTAAAATTGAATATATATTAAATAGATTTTTTAGATGGTATTTCAATTTGTTACTGTATTAATAAACGTAAAACTGGTATTTTACTGTCTAGTTTTCAAAACACGAAACTCTTTAATTTGACTAAGGTACAAATCTGTTTTCAGTAGAAAGAGAAAACACAGTGCCTCCGTTTAATGCAAAGGACAAAAAAGATCATCACTGCAAATCATAATGTTTGGGTTTATGATGAAAACAGGAAACAGACAGGCTGCCCAGGTATAATTATGGTTGCAGTCTAATGTGCCTTCAGGTTCAGCCAAGAATTAAAACCCAGTGAAGAGGGTAAGCAGAATTTACTTGCCTCTACTTTACTACAGAACGCAACTTTTAATAATACTCCCAGCAGCATGTTACATAACCAACAGTAAACAACAATCTGATTCAAACCTCATTAGTAACAACCTTCTGCCACTGTCTCCCACTGAAATTAATAGCTGACTTTGCCAGAGGGGAAAGAAACGCAACACATATCAATCTACCCATTTCTGTGGCGCCTACCACAGTGAACCAGACACAAAGATAATACTACCAGATCTGTACAGAAACAACGAAAATATTTTATTTTTTTCCAGTTTGCTGCTCTCTTCCTCCTTTTAATTAGACCATATCATGTGGATACCTTTAAAACCTGAGAGGAAAGTCAGTTAAGAGGGTTCATCTAACTTTTAGTGCTTATTTCAACTATGATCTGAAAGGAGTGGAAGCACAAAATGAGGAATGAGGTAGCTGTAACCAAGATACATGGGCAAAGGAACAGCAGTAATGTAAAAAAGACTGAGGGAGCAGCAATGTGGAGAGGGAAGGAAAGGAAGATGTACAGGAACAATCATACAATCATCAAATTTAAATTTTATAAACCTAAACATAATCTCTACAACCTTTAAGAAGGTTAAGTTTTGTTAAATTGTCTAAGTTTTGTATTTTTACAATTTTCGCCGTAGAGAAAAAAATATTAATAGTTACCAAAGGAATAAAAGACAAATGGTTTGTCAAACATCCGCAAATAGCCCCTTATGAAATCTGGAACACTAATTTCATAATAACATTTGGCTCGATAAATGTAAAATTGTCCCACTGACTGTAGGTGCTGTTTTCCCACAACGGACACTACTGCATTGGCATCTTGCAGAAATTGTAAGCTATTTGGAATGTTACTAAACCTACTAGGACTAAAATTTTCAAACTTTCATCTTTCTAATTAAAATTAAAAACTTATTCACTCTGGGCAATTCGGATACTCTAAGGAAATTCAAGTACTCTAGTTTTAAATAAGAGTTTTAAAAAACGCAATCCAAGTACCCTTTCCTCTCACCTTTTGTGAGGCCAAGTCACGACCTCCACCTATCCAATCTTTTCTGCTAGGTAAGAACACTTTTCGTAGTGCTAGGCAACAGGCATGATGTGACAAACCTAACCAGACTTCAAAACTTTTCCACAGATAAGGTAAACAAGATATACTTAGCACCACACCCATTTAAATACACAAGCAGCCCTGCGCACCCCTCCCCCAACACCACACCCCCTCCAAACCTCCAGCTGGTCAGGAAACATTGTCTTTACAATCAAGATAACGATCTGGCTTAGGGTGTTCAGCCATTCCTCACCTACAGCCTGGCCTAAGCTCTATTCTCCAAAGCCATCACCACTAGAATCGAAACGTTCTGTTAGGAAGCCGTCAAACGTCCAAACTCCCCGACTATCCTCGCCCGAGTTTTCTGCAACCAAAAATCTGTTTTGGTTACTGAGCATGCTCAGACTTAAGACGGGCGCGCCACATGGGAGTTTTCAAAGCTTAGGCTCCAAACTCCACGTAATAACAGCAGCGGAGGAGAGGGTAAAAGGGGAGGAGAAAGGGAAGAGACTGGAATATTAATTTGGGCCCTGATGTTGAATCATAGGGCCTGGCCAGCGGCTGAATATGGTGAAGGTAAAAAGGCGCTACTTTGGCATTCTGTTTGCAGCATAGAGAATTTTACAAGTAGAAGAAATCCTTGCAGTGGTGAAAACTGACATGGCAAGTGGCGGAAACCAGGTCTAACTACCAGCTGATTGCAGTAGCCGGTCACAATTGCCCCGAGTGTAATTCCCACCGATAAGCGCGGATCCTTATCTTTGAAACACAAAGCGACCGCGGCACGGATTCATCCAGCCATTGGACAGCTTTGCAGTGCAGAAGCCCAGGCTGCTCCCCCGAGCACTGCAGTCCTATCAGGAAGGTGTATCGAGGGTGGTACATCAGTTTGACGTAGAAAAGCAAACCGCTCCCTAGAACAGATGCGGGGTCAGGGGATCCCCTCCAGGACGTCCCGGATGCCTCCCTCCTAAGTCCGGGTGGTAACAACGGGACTGGGATGAGGGCCAGCCCCGGCCCAGCCTCAGGACTCCCCGGGCCGCAGGCGAGGCCTCCGCAGCCGCTGGGCCGCACAGTGTCCGCCAGCCGGGACCCCGGCAGGCCAAGACTCGGCCTACCTCCGGCCCGGCAGGCCCCGGGTAGTTTCCGCTCCGCCCGCGGCCGAACGCCCCCGCCTCGGCCCGCATCCGCCCGGGCAGGGCCTGCAGCCTCTGGTCCCGCCCGCCCGCGCGCGCCGCGGACCCTCACTCACTCACGGGCCGGCTGGGCGCGCTCTCCCGACGCCGTCGCTGCGCTTCTCGCGGCAACTTTATTAGCAGCTCGACTGCGGGACACGCGCACGGCGCCCGCTCGCCCAGGACCCGGATGAGGGAGGGAGGGAGGGAGGGAGCCTGGGAGAACGCCCGCTGGGGTCGGCGCATGCGTGCCTGGGGCCGAGTGACCGCTGCGGGACCGAGGGAGGGGTGTCTTGCCCGGGCGGCTGAAGGAAGCATCCGGGCCTGGCTCAACGCCGGACAACGCCAACTTCCGATCGGCCGCCGGAGGCGTTTGCGTCGATGACCAAGCCTGGGAGTGGGAGTCAGATAGCTCCCACCACCACCACAGTAGCCGCTAGTAGCTTCCACTAACCAAGTCAACAGACATTGTAATAAAATTAGGTAATTGTCCTTGATACAGACAACTGGAGATTTTCCGTCATATACAAAGTGTAAACAAAGACATCTTCAGATACGACTTAGCTACTTTTATTGATTTGTAATACAAACCTGAATGAAGAGTCTTCTTTCTGTGCACAGTAGCTTCAAACCATGTTTCTGAGCATCCTACAGTTTCTTACTAGATGCAGCACTGAAACTCCTCCCACGGGGCAATCCTGGAACCCTTGAGGGCCTATGGAAATGGAGCCGGGTGCCCGACCCTGGAGTGGGGCTGTCCATACACCGGGTTGCAACCCCAGTATTTCAAGACAACATACCCTCTCCACATCCTTGTGGAGAGGGAGATACCCTGAGGACCCAGCCCTGCAGGCAGTGGGGTCACTGAGGTCCAAAGATGCTGACAGACACCACCCCATCTCCTGGACTCTCTTTTCTCAATAATTGGAGATTTTCTCAATGCTTTTCCCTCCAAATTTCCAAAACTGTCAGCATTTCCAAAAGTATAGGCTAATATACACCAGCCCATCTCCTGGACTCTCTTTTCTTAGTAATTGGAGCTCTTCTCAATGATTTTTCCTCCAAATTTCCAAAACTGCCAGCATTTCCCAGAGTATATTGGTACCACATAGGGTACCCGGTTTGGAGACTACTAGCAAGAAAAAGCTCTTGAATAATTTTGTTTTTATTTTAGAAGGTCAATACTGGCTTTCCAATGTTTTATTATAGGTTTTCTTTTAAAAATAAGTAACAATCAAAATCGGAGTCATTTTGGAAAATGCTTTTTCACATCCTAATTCAATCCGTCGGGAAATTCTATTAACTCTTTCTTCAAAATATATCCTAACTCTGACCATTTCTCACACCTCAATTACCACCTCCATGGCCTGAGGCAGGGTCATCTCGCCTGACACACAAATGGTGCAGCCACTGTTTTGCTCCAGGCTCTAGCAGTTTATTTCCATGGAGAAGAAACTAAATAAATGTTCCAGAAGTCTCTGCATTATGGGTGGCCATCTCAAATGGTGACAGAGGCCTCATAAAAGTGTGAAGGGGGAGTGGGAGAAGAGACGAGAGAGTGCCTAGTTCCAGAGAATAAGGGGTCACTGCTATTTCATCGTTCTAGCCAACTGTTACCATAGTGAAATGTGGGAATAAGGGTCCAGTGTTTGCAGATATTCTGATTTTTTGAGAAAAGCTGGAAATTTAGATTTTTATGCCAAAATCTCAATGGTATCTGTTTAGCAACTTCTATTTTTCTCTCTTTCCCTGTCTCCTTCTCCCCTCCCCTCTCCCTTCCTCTCACTCTGTTAGACATTCTGGAGGCCAACTCCACGCAAGCCAAACAAAACAAATCCATGGTCCGGATTTAGCCTACTGACCACCAGTTTGCAATTTCAGGTCTCCATCTTAAACTTCTTTACTACATCATAAACTTTGTGAAAGTAAAGTCTGTGTACTTTAACTCTTTGTCACACTCACTGATTATTTATTGTTAATTCAGAAGTTTCCAGCCCTTGGAAGGCAAATATTTCTGGAGCCTGCATGGATTTACAACTCCCAGAAGTGCATATAATCCTGCCTTGGAAGATACGTTTTTTTTCCAGAACTGATGTTTGCAGAGTGCTTTGTTGAACATTATGGGACATAGCAATTTGGTTTAAATATTTTGTGTGATAGAGATATGCCTCACTTCAAACAGCCAGTAAAATCCTTCCCAAAACAAAGTATTTGCTGTTTGTAGGCACTGTACATATGTCAGAAGAATGTGTGATTACAAGATTCCTTTTCATAGTCACATATGTAATCTCAAAGCCAACGGTTTTGCTTCCTACGTTATGTGTCCACATACTGATCAAATCAACCAGAGACGCCAACCTCTCCAAGTTGCTATTTGAGCTCTGTTTAGGTCTAAAGTTGGAAGAGATGATAACATAGAAGGGAGGACTAGAGATTTTAGTAGCACACCAGCAGCCTTCCGAAGATCTAAGAAATTACCTAGACATCAAAGGCTGTAGAAAATCAGAGGGAACACTAAATATCTATATAGTCAAAAACATTATAAAATAGCAAATGAACAGGCGTGCCAGAACCATAAAAATGAAGTAAGGAAGTTCCTGTTTTTGGCAATCAAATGGGATCTAAGAATAAATGTAGAGCAGGAAGATCTGAACAGATAGACATAGTCAGTGGGGCATCAAAATAGACAAACTGCTTTTAAGGTTTAGCCATTCACCTGATCAGGAAGACCAGATAAAAGCAACTCTAATATTCAATTTTACTTTACTTGTAGAAAAACCTATTTCTGGATAATTTAGGCCTATAATTCTCAACTAGGGGTGACTGCACCCCCAGGAAACAAACATTTGGCAATGTTTGAATATGTTCTTGGTTGTCACAATTAGGAGGGCGTTGCTACTAGCATCTAGAGGGTTAGAGCCAGAGACACTGCTGAACACCCTGCAACACACAGGATGGCCTCCTTCTACCAAAAATTAGTCAACCAAAAACGTCAGTTGTGCTGTGGTTGAGAAGCCCTGATTTAGATCCCAAAGAGTTTTTCTTTAATTGGATTGATGTTTATGGAAGATATGGCCCTTGTCTTTGAATTCGTTTAATAATCGTTTAGATTATCAATTTGATGTAGAGAATTAGCCTGAATGTTTAGCCCATGACCTACTCCCACCTTGAGGTTTTCATGTCTAAGAAGGAGGCAACTTTCAGGAAAGGTGGGACAATATATGGAAGATGAAGAACTGGAATAATTTTTAAAGTATTTCTGTATTTTTTCAGTTTTATTTTTAAATGTACAGTATTTGAAGCAAATTGGTTTTGGTCTGAAAATCCTTAATCAGTATCTTAATTACATAGTTTACCGTAGCTCACAAGGCTCTGCCTACGTGACTACTGCCTAGCCTACTGTGAGAATTGGAAGAATGTGATGATGGCAGGAGTCAGTCAGCATAGAAGCATGAGTGAATGATATCCCAGAGATCTACAGAGGATCCTGGTAGCCGCTTCAAAGGCTTGTTCTCCCTTCCTCAGACCATTATGGCACATGGACATTAGAGGAAGAAATGGTGAAGTTTGCATGACTCCTCTAGCACAGTCCTTGGAAACAATAAAGCTTCCTTTCCAAATTCTGAGAATTCTGTGTTATTCTTTAACTGGCAGACTGCCCACTGCCCCCAATTCTTAATATTGGAAACAGTGCAGAAGCCAGGACTCAACTGAGAAGTCCTGAGACAAGTGAAGTTCTAAGGAAATGATGTGCAGAGGCACAGCCCATAATCGAGAAAGAAACGCTTCATCATGTGTGTCAGAAGAAGCTTCATGTCAGTCTTTAACAGAATGAGCCAAGCTTCCATGCTGACCAGAGAATATGCAAAAGTAATTTTATCCAATATGTGAAGTTTTTTTTTTCTAGTAAAATTTTGGTGTTCTGGTATGAAGTGCTTCCCTTATAATCCACAGACCCTTTATTTTCATAACTCAGAAGCTGAGATCATAATGTATTGAAAAAAGAAAAAAAGTAAAAGAATGACAGCTGCCTCCACTCAAAGCACAGGAATCTGGCAGCCACAGACTCCTTGAAGCTTCCGGGATGGATATCAGAGAATCCGTGAACCCCACCCTCATCCCCTACCCCACCAGGGAATTAATGTGCACATTTATATATATATATATATATACCTATATACGAATTTTCTGCAGAAAAAAACCCATAGCTTTCAACACATTCTTAAAGGTTTCCTGACCTCCACATGTTTGCAGATGCTTAAAACAGTGGTTACTTTACACATGGTATAAGTTTAATGTATCCATTTAAGGTATCTTTTCTTCTCTTTTTCAGAGCAACATAATTAGGAAACTCCTCTCTAGGGAAGGCAGCTTGATGGAGAGTGTAGGAACCTGGCTTGCCTGTCTCCAGCCATCTGCCACATTAAAGAAGGCCTCCTATGGCTGGAATCCAAGACACAAAATTAAAAGGGTTGCTTGCACCCAAAGTCATAAAACAAAGAGGCTTTCTGAAGCAGGCCTTGGAGTGAACACTCATTTCTTCCTGACTTAAACAGCATCTGTTTCTCCTGATGGTGAGCACCCCCCAAGTTAAATCGAATAACCTCTGGGGTTCTGCCTTCTCAGTTTTCATCCTCAGAGACATAGTCTCAGATGAGCCAAACCACATGTGCACCCCACCACAAATCCAGAGAAGCAGGTGAGAATCTGAAAGTGTTATGGAATTGAGGCGAGGGAAAGAGACAAAAACTTCATGTTTTCTAGGAAGCTCTTTAAATACATGAAGTCTTAATCATGAAAACTCTGATGCCAGATTTCTTCATCTGAACGCAGAGTATCTCACTACCTGTGTGACTGTGCACAAGTTTCTTAACCAATCTCTGCCTCAGGTTCCTCATCTGTAAAATGGGGATAACAGTAGTATCAACTTAATAGAATTATGAGGATTACATGCATAGAGACTTACAAAGTTCTTAGAACAGTGCCTGACACATAAGTAAGTGCTATACAGGTGTTTGTTTTAAAAACACACATATTCTTCCAATATGCCAGCAATTTCTAAGAATGAATTAGCAAATCTATTTGTCACATAAAATTTGTATTCATTTTACAGTACAATAAACCCTCTTCTCTTCTTACTCCATAGGTAACCTCACCCACTCCCAGGCCTCTGGTACCATCTGTTATAGACA